GCAGGAATCAAATTAAGGAAAAAAAAAAAAAAAAGTCATTCAATCCGTCTTTCCTTCCTGTGACAAGAGGGGAAAGCTAGGAAGAGGGAAGAGGATATGGCTGTATTTTCTAAAGGAAAAGGATGCTATTTAGTTGTCTCTATAAATTTGCATCTTATCCCAGCACGTATTTGTACTTGACAGTCGTGGCGCAAGTTCGGTCACAGTTTCTCCTCCCGTCCCCAGCGCACCCTCCACCCACAGACACCTCAAAGTTCAGCTCTTGTACCTTACACATCTCTGTGCGACAACACTCACCCTCTAGCTGCGGGGGGCAGTGGAAGTAGAACATGGCCCTGCGGCTGGGTGCGCGCCCGCTGCTCGCAGCTGCGAGCCCGACGGCGGCCGAGACCGGGGCCGAGACCGGGGCCGGGGCCGGGGCCGGGGTCGGGGCCAGCCCTCGGGGCGCGGGGCTCCCGCGCACCCCCCGCACCGACCGACCGGCACCAGCTCCCCAGTCGGGCACCGCGACGCAGCCGAGGTACCTCCTGCAGACCTGAAGACACAGAGGGAAAGAATAGAATAGGTGAAGAGGCAGAAGAAAACACCTGAAGAAACTCATTGATAAACCTAAAGCCCATCCCAGAGGAAGAAAAGAAAGTAGTGTCTAATCCTGTGCAACGAATTTAAAAAGCCAAAGGCAGAAAACTCTGTGGTTGGCGTACAGAAACCAGAATCAGCAAAACTTAGTTGTTTTATTTTTCTGCCTGGAATAGCAGATTGTGCCACTCTTGCTCTCCTATCTATCTATCTATCTATCTATCTATCTATCTATCTATCTATCTATCTATCTATCTATCTATCTATCTATCTATCTATCTATCTATCTATCTATCTATCTATCTATCTATCTATCTATCTATCTATCTATCTATCTATCTATCTATCTATCTATCTATCTATCTATCTATCTATCTATCTATCTATCTATCTATCTATCTATCTATCTATCTATCTATCTATCTATCTATCTATCTATCTATCTATCTATCTATCTATCTATCTATCTATCTATCTATCTATCTATCTATCTATCTATCTCAAATATTCCTTTATGGAGCAAACAGTTACATAAAGAAAAAAAAATGTAGGTAAGATTGAGCTGCATAAAAGAAAATCTAAATTATTCTGCCTAAATAAACAGCAATTAAACCTAAAAGCTGCCTTCTTTTTAAAGCATCCAACATACTGGGAGCCAATGTCCTCAGCAGGGAAAAAAAAACCCAAATGACAATTCAAATTTATATGCAGTCATACTAAAAACAAACAAACAAAAAATCCAGAAGGTACATGAATATAGTAATCCATACCTAAACCGAACAGAAGCAAAAATCACCGGTAAGGTTTGGGGGTGTTTTGCTTTAGAATAAGGCGCTGTGAGTTGTTGGCTGCAGAGACAGAAGGGCTCTGTGGAGTTCTGGAAGTGGCCAGATGTCTTTATATCTGTCTACAGCATGCTCTGCCTCTCAGCACTTGCCTTTATAATCTCACGCATAATTGGCCTTAATCTGATTATTTCCAGCGCTGTCTACAGTGAGTAACTTGGATAGGTCTATTGGGCCCTACAAATGGCCCACGTGGTGTGCAGAGCAGGGGGGGTGGAGAGGATGAAAAGAAAAACCCGTCATTTCTCAGCAAACGCCAGGAATGTGAACAGCAGCACCACAACCCCATTATTTTCTGAGCGCTGGCGCTCTGGGGCTCGCAGCCCCCTGCGTGTCCCCCCCGCCCCGGGGTGCCCCTGGGCGCTGCCCCGCACCCCGGTGCTGCCGGAGCGCCGGGTAATTGCCGTCGGATGGGTTTTGGGGGGCCGCTCTGCACACGCCTCGCCTTTCCAAGCGATCGTACCACGGCAAAGTTTGATTTTGTTCGCAGCGAGGGGTCTCTGGATTTATGCTCGCTTCCCGTCTGCAAATGATATGCGGCGGGACCCTTCGCAATTACTTTTAAAATGCATCCGAGACATAGGCTCAGCGGAGAGAGATGGCCCTTGCCTCAGCCCGGGTGAAAATTAGACTTTAAAGTACCCAGATGAAATTTTCAAGTCAGGGACGCGGGATTGGATCAAATCACATAAACTGCAAAAAAAGCAAGTATAATGGCGCATAATTGGTTCTGTAATAGCATTACACAAGGATAATAGCCTGTTATGGCCCCCTGCACATTAAGTGCTTCCCTGGCGTAAAGCCTTTATGATATTAAAGGGGGAATATAATGATATTTTGGTTATTAAATGCGTGTAATTAATTTATGCACCACTGAAAATAAAGTTGGTATTATGACCCACTCAAGATGCATCAGAAGATGTAAGTCAGACAACTGTTGATAAGTTCTGGTGTCTATGTTTCGTCTAGACTGCTGATTTTATTTTGGAACAATTGCTTCTCCGGCAGACTACACAAATTTAATATTTTATAAAGATTGTAATGTTCTGTGCAGGAAGGGCGAGCAAATCTACACAGGCTCTCTTAGATCTGATGGGAGTTTAAAGACAGCACATTCATACCAGAGCAAAGGAGATGGATACAGGCAATACAGGTGCAGAAATAGTGATTTTGAAGAGATGATGTCTTTGGAAAGTTGATTCTGTACATATGATCTCATTAAATAAACACTAATAAGCCTTAGAAATATCACCTGCTCTTTTACATTAGGCATAGATGTGGAAATTCCCCTAATGTATATTCAAGCTGAAGTTATGTTCCCATCCTGTGAAGCATTATTTCAGCAAAGCAAGGCAAAAATTAATTTTACTTGAGATACAAATTGATTTGATCTGATCCTATCTTATCCATTCACTTATAATTTTAGCCTAGTAGTAACAGATATAGAAGGCTGTCTTCACGTGTTTCATATATGTTTACATGTCTACACACACTTAGGAATACTTTTGTTTGACAGCAGATATTTGCTCACCATCCAGGCAATACTGAGCAGTAAAGTATACTACGAATTGAGATGGCTTTTACATCACCATCCAAGATCAAAGACCGATGCTCTGAATCTGACTGCACTCAATAGCAGCACAAGCTTAAGGTCAAGCAACCTTAAAAAGAAGGCCATAACCCAGAGGTGCTGCCTGGATCTCCCCTGCCCGTCTCTCCCTCTTGAGCTTTAAAATGCACACAGGGCTGGTACTGTAGGATCCCTTTGCACAGAGACAGATGTGCCTTTTCCTTTTTCTCTGACGTCGGGAAGAGATGAGCAAGATAGTGTTTTATCATAAGAACCCCTAATAAAATAATAATAACTTCATTATGGCGCTCTCAGGCCTTGCTCTTGTCAGGGGGCTGCATTGCTGTTTTGGCTCCAAGACTCACTTTCCCAAGCAGTTTGAAGCCTGCAAGTTCAGCGTATTACAGGAGGGGGAGAAGGCGGAATGGAGCACGGGGAAGCACTCCAAGTCGCCGCTTTTTAAATAGAAGAAGAAGAAGCCTGAGCCGGTCGAGACTCAACTTTCTCCCAAGGACCAGCAGCTGCAAAACAAGGAGATAACTAAGCAATATATAATCCCCCACCCCTCGCCATCTCGGTGTCTGTTTAATTTTAATGCTCGAAAAGCGGGGCTGACATAATTAAAAGTTAACGCTGGGGAGTCCTGGGTGCTTCTCTCAGGCGGACGGAGCCCCGGGGCGGCGGCGCTTCAGCACCACGGAGAGCGCCCGCAGCTCCGCGCCCGACCCTGTACCGAGCTCCGGCCCCGCTCCGAGCCCGGCCCCGCTCCGAACCCGGCCCCGCTCTGCACCCGGCCCCGCTCCGAACCCCGGCCCCGCTCCGAACCCCGGCCCCGTTCCGAGCCCGGCCCCGTTCCGAGCCCGGTCCCGCTCCGCACCCGGTCCCGCTCCGAGCCCGGCCCCGCTCCGAGCCCGGCCCCGCTCCGAGCTCCGGCGCCGCTCCGAGCCCGGTCCCGCTCCGCTCCACCCGTCCCTCCCCCGGGAAAGGCTGCCGGCAGAGCTGCGTCCCTCCGTGTACCCCTGCTGCAGATGCTTTCCTGCGAATCTGGGACCACATTGGAAAAAATATGCAGTAAGTTGCTTGGGATCATGTCTAGTATCTCTCTCTGGTAGTTCTTCTGATCCAGCTGCCAAAGGCAAGCACTAAAAACAAGAATGCAATAACATACAGAGTTACAATATTTCGGGAAAAAAATTACATTTTTATGTAAAGTCCCTAAAGCCTCCGTCATGAACTTAATTTTTATTCCTATTATTATTATTACTGTTGTTATTACTGTGACTATTGTGGCATCAATATTAGTTACTAGGTCTGCAAGAAAAAGTCCAAATAAGTATAATTCTGGATAGACACTTTGCTGATAGTGTCTGTCTTAGAGCAGAACTGTTCCTGTGCTGCACACACAAACACACCTCTTATCTTTCACCCATGAAAACAAAATCTAGGGCTGAACTGCTGAGCAAAATCACTGAATGGATATTTTCCTTGGAAGCACTGAGCTTTGAGGGGATCATTCGTAAAACTCAAGGAACAGCTCAGTTTGATGAAATGGCTCTCTTGCCTTTCCATGTCCAAATGCTTCCTTTCCCGTGCTTCTCAACACCTGACCACAGAAAAAGGCTAGCAGCTAAAAGGTTATTTTACCCTAATTCATGTGCAGTAAAATGTATTTTCCAATTAACCAAATTTGCCGATTTGTCCCGCTTGGACACTCTTATAATTTATAATGTAAAAGTGTTCTTTCTTTATCTAAAGACCAAGGTGACTGCTTTTAATTTTCTGTAACCTCTTTACACTTGATGTTCACCAGACTCATAATGTTAATTGGCTTCATATACGGATCATCAGTTTAATGAAGGAATAAATCCTATGTTGCTTTATGTCCCTCTGTTTTAACAATGATTGCTTTAATGAAGAATGTGACGTGTTTGAAATCAAAGCTGCAGGAGACATTAGAGGTTTTTTTTTGGTTTTTTTTTTATGATGACTGAAATGCTTATTCAAAGCTAAAACCATGAGGTTTTCATATTCCAAAAGCTTTTCTTGAAATAATTTTCCATGGAAAATACTGACCCATTCGTCACCAGAGAACTCTTTCTTTGCAATTATGGGCTGAGACTGAGAATAGCACAGTCCTGTAATATAAACACCCCAATTAGGCTATGAAATTATCTCTAAGCTGATTTTATATCACTGCAGTTTTCATTCAGAGTTCAAGTAAAACTCCCAGTGAGTTATAAGTAGTTAAGTCTGCCTAAATAAAGAGTATTTTTGGTTAACTAGTAAGTCTCTTTGTCAACCTACTGTATTTTCACTGCTCATGGGTAGATGAAGAAA